GGGGATCTCGTAGTCGAGCAGTCTCGACTAGAGCTTTCTTACTTGTTTTTTCTTCGCCTTCGACGATATCGATATCCACCCGCACACACTTTTTGTTTTGTAACCATTACGAATATGTATAGTCTTGTCCGAAAACAAAAATCAAACATATATTTAATGCTTCTGTCGAGCAAGTTACGTTTTATCATTAAGCACAGAACTTATTGACCGGACACACAGTGTAAAGACTTTTGCACACTTTTTTCGAGCATAAGTTTCCAGATCACTTCATATTTGCTAGGCCCCCTACTTTTAAGCTCGGTCTACGAAAATATAGGAAAGAGATAAACAAACTTGCTGTCCCTCTCGATTCTCTCTAAAATATGTACATTTGTACAGATATATGTATATGTATGTATGCATGCTGCACATATAACAGCTCACAAAAAAATTAAATTTCTTCGCAGCAATAACCCATGTCAAACCATGTGTCATGCTCATGCAAAATATTTTTGTTATTATTTGTGGGAGGGATGTGTATTTGCATGATTCTTATGACTGATACATCCTTTTAAAAGGGTCCATTCGACCTGTATATTTATTCTTATATGTACATATGTATGCATATGTAAATTTTACCTAGGATCGAAAATGGCATCCAATTTTCCCACTATGTGTAATCAGGTACTACATGTTTTGAAAGACTTCCTTCTGATAGCCAAGCCCACGATCATTGATACAAAATATAAACATGATTCTACATTTCGAACCCAAAATCTTTCACACAATTTTAAGTTGTGGTAGGCTCACGACAATGTTCATTTCAAATGCATTCCGACATACTCAAGCATATAAATACTCGTACACACATGTTTGTAGCAAGGGACTGTACGCTCTACACGAAAAGATTTTCATTATGCGCACCAACGCTTTCATACACCTCCCACAAATAATAGCCAAAACACAAACATTTTGCATGAGCATGGCACACTGTTCGAAGAGTTCTGTATACTCTTCACTCAGAAAGGAAGACATGGGTTCCTGTCACGAAAAAATTTTAATTTTTTGTTAGCTGTATATGTACATATTTGGAAGAGCAGAAAACATCGACAGAGAGAGAGATAGAGAGAGAGAGAAAGAGAGAGAAATAATGCTGGGGAAAGCAAGGGACTTCGCTTACAGATCAACCATTTCAGCCGAGCGAATGAAGAGCAATGACTATGCGTTCCCAATTTTTCGTAGCCCGAAGCTGAAAGTAAGGGGGCCCAGCAAATACTTATGATCGAAAAACTGTGTTACTTCAAAAGTTTCAAAAAATTATATAATGCCATAGAAATAAAAATGATATAGAACAATTTGATGGTATCTCCCATTATAGTACTAATTTAAAAATCAACGTTTTTATTTAGAGCGCGGAAGTTGGGATGCGAAGCATTGTTATGTTGGACGAGCAAGGAGGTAAGATATTGAAAAGGAAATAGACCAATTTTAACAACTGATAAAAGTAGAAAATACGTTTAATTAAATAATATTAACTCAATATGTTGATGATAACAGGATAGTTTCAACTAATGACAAATTGAAGGGAATTGGCTATTATTTGAGTGAAACCTGCAGCGACGCCGGTATCTACAAAACAATTAGATAGGAAAATGGTTTCAAAAATTTTCAATTTAAATGATTTCATTTCTATATATATGTATGAATCCGGCTATAACGACTCCGCTTAAAGCGTCCGGTTATGTCGACGAAAATTCGATGTCTTGGTTGTTCCCCTTACAAACTTATATGAAACCTTCTGGTTAAAGTGTCCACCGGGTAAAGCGACGTAAAATTGTCGGTCCCTTGAGTGTCGCTATAACCGGATTCTACTGTATATATCTATTATATATTTATAAAATTCTATAAGTGCAAGTTCTTGTATTTGTAGAAATACAATTTTTGCCGAACCACTAACCAGAGAGCACATATGTATATAAGTGTGTGTATGTTATAAGTGTGAGTAGTTCACAATATCGACCAAATGCAAATGCTGGGTGTTAAAATTGTTACGAGCTTGGCAAACGGTTTCAATAGTTCGGCATACTCATCACACATAAGGGAAGACATGGATTCTTGCTACGAAGAAATTTCAATTTTCGTGAGCTGCTGCTTGTGCTTACATGCATACATACATTACATGGTTGAGAGAGCAAACAGAACCGAGAGAGGGAGAGAAAGAGAGGGCAAGGAAAACATTCAGCATACAGGAATCTTTTGTTC